ACACTACTGAAATGATCTCACAGACACACTACTGAAATGATCTCACACACACACTACTGAAATGATCTCACACACACTACTATTATGATCTCACACACACTACTGAAATGATCTCACACAAAACAGCCCCAGGCCATCACACTACCACCACCATATTTTACTGTTGGTATGATGTTCCTTTTCTGAAATGCCGTGTTACTTTTACGCCAGATGTAATGGGACATACACCTTCCAAAAAGTTCAACTTTTGTCTCATCAGTCCACAGAGTATTTTCCCAAAAGTCTTGGGGATCATCAAGATGTTTTCTGGCAAAACTGAGACGAGCCTTTATGTTCCTTTTGCTCAGCAGTGGTTTTCGTCTTGGAACTCTGCCATGTAGGCCATTTTTGCCCAGTCTCTTTCTTATGGTGGAGTCATGAACACTGACCTTAATTGAGGCAAGTGAGGCCTGCAGTTCTTTGGATGTTGTTCTGGGGTCTTTTGTGACCTCTTGGATGAGTCGTCGCTGCGCTCTTGGGGTAATTTTGGCCGGCCACTCATGGGAAGGTTCACCACTGTTCCATGTTTTCGCCATTTGTGGATAATGGCTCTCACTGTGGTTCGCTGGAGTCCCAAAGCTTTAGAAATGGCTTTGTAACCTTTTCCAGACTGATAGATCTCAATTACTTTGTTTCTCATTTGTTCCTGAATTTCTTTGGATCGCAGCATGATGTCTAGCTTTTGAGGATCTTTTGGTCTACCTCACTTTGTCAGGCAGGTCCTATTTAAGTGATTTCTTGATTGAGAACAGGTGTGGCAGTAATCAGGCCTGGGTGTGGCTAGAGAAATTGAACTCAGCTTTCCAAAGATGTGATAAACCACAGTTAATTTATGTTTTAACAGGGGGGGGGGAGCAATCACTTTTTCACACAGGGCCATGTAGGTTTGGATTTTTTTCCCCCCTTAATAATAAAAACCATTTAAAAACTGCATTTTGTGTTTACTTGTTATCTTTGTCTAATATTTAAATTAGTTTGATCTGAAACACTTAAAGTGTGACAAACATGCAAAAAAATAAGAAATCAGGAAGGGGGCAAACACTTTTTCACACAACTGTGTATATATATGTGTGTATATATGTGTGTATATATATGTGTGTATATATGTGTGTATATATATGTGTGTATATATATGTGTATATATATATGTGTATATATATGTGTATATATATATGTGTATATATATATGTTTAGTTTGGCATAACTTTAACAACATAAGTGAATGTACTTGTTAGCAAACAACAAACTACTCAATACTGTATTGATATGACCCTGATAGGACTTCTCACGCTTTCACCTCATCGGAGTTCCATTAACACACTCCTGCTATGTGATCAACATTTTTTCTAAGAATCATACCTATTTTGGAAACTAGCTTACAACACACACACTCACTCAATAATGTCCTTCAACTGTAACAGTGAGTCCTGTCTTGAGAGCTAATGGCCTAAAGCAGAGGGCTGCTTCACCTGCTATGATAAACATGCAGTGTGAGGCGGTTCTCATGAGTCCACAGGATGTTACCTGAAGCGTGACGGGAGATGATGGACAGTTCACAGCCTTCCCCTGAACAGGTTTGGGAAAGCTGTTTTTCAGTGTCTTCAAGGTTTCAAAGTACCAATTGCATCAGTTTTGTGTGTCAGACTTCCACGTGTCACAATGAAACTCGGCAGCCCTGCTGACAAAGAGGGGGCAGAGGGCTGAGAGACAGAGCACACTGCTTTATTAGGGTGCAATTTTAGAAAGTACTTGAAAAGGCACATAAGAACATGAGTAATGTGAGTGCTCACACACACACACGCGCTCATACCGAGACTCTCTTCACTGTAGTGGGTTGTGTAAGAAGATAATGGCTGAGCCAAAATCAGCCCACTTCAATCCACAATGACACATGCGGTGTGTGTTTGTATGTGTGTGTCAGAGGTGAGGTGAGTAGAGCAAAGCATTTCTTATGTAAGGTTGTTGACTCAACACACAAACACAGGATTACTCCTCTCTGCTCACAACATACTGTATATATACAGTATATATATATGGTTGGTCCCTTATCTATAATTGATATCTATTGTAAATGCTAGCCATTAGGATGCTAAAGTATCAGTATACGCAGGCGACTCAAGCTCTCATTTTTCTGTATAATCACGTCTGAAAACATATTGTAAAGACGTATAATGTTGCAAATTCTGTCTTTAAAAAAACAATTAACATGTAGTTGGCCAAAAACCTGACCGGTTTTGCCTCACTAGGAATTCATATTCCAAGAACTGAAGTGTGTCAAAGAACATTTCCAAAGAAGCTTAATAAAATGGATAAAACACTACACCCATGGAGAAAACCTTGGTATACAAGGTGAAACAACCAAACATATTATGTTATATGTGGATTAGATATGATAAATGAGATATAACTTGTTTTCTTTCTCGTGTGAAACCATACAAGGCTGTTTACATTATCAACATCATCCTCCAGAAGAAGAGTCCAACAGCTCTCTGTGTTCTTACTGTGTAGTGGTACAGATATTTAGAAGGATGCTAAGTCCTTCCACCTTCCTGCTTTATTTAGGCCATGTGATCAAACAGAATGTAAAATAGGATAGACACTATCCAGCCTTCTGAGGTTATGTTTCCACTTGCATAAATTAATGTTAAGTTCAGTTGCTAAGCCTCATGCACACGCCTGTAGTGTATCCTTGCTGCACCTTCATCCGTTATTCCAGGTCACTGATTCCACTCTACATCAGCGTCCTTCATCCCCTCACTGCAGCAGCCTCCGTCCTTCACAATCATTTCACCTCAAGCCGCTCAACACTCGAACCGTCGTCTCTCCCGGATGACTGTGGTCAGAATGCTATTTAACTGCTTTTGATACGCTGACCGAATTGCAACACCGTTTCATTCTGTCGGCGTCTCCTGTGCGACGGGTCAATTATTCCTGTAAGTTCTGTAATACGGTGGGTCTCGTTTAGCCGTCCTCTACTACCAGGGTATCAGGCTTTACTGAAGCAGCGTTTTGAAGATAGGCTGTATCTATTCCCTCTTTTTCATTAGGCTATTTGAATATCTAGCATTTGACTTGTTACATTTTCAAACTACAACAACATCATGTTGTCATAGCCTATAAGCCCACTTCCTGCACATTAAAGCCCTCTACCTGTTCACTTCATATGAAACCTGTTCAATAACTTTCAAGGTTCTCCTACTGTACCTTAATGTAGCTGTCTCCATCACATGACACTCATTAGTTCAAGTACAGTTGACTTCAACAAAAATGCCTAATTCATTTTTATGTTTTATAGTATTTTGTTTAATTTATGGATTGAGCAATGGATAGTATATTATGCCAAATATGCATGTACATCCATGACAAGCACAGAGTTTATCCAACTACTTTTCAGTGCAGCTCATTCAGTCAATAGTCAGTATCGTGCATCACAAATCACAACTACTGTGCACAGCTGGCATAACAACATAACGTTCCTCCATAATGAGCCAGTGCATTCCTCAAAGTGTTCACAGATGGATCCATCGTTGGGTTTTGGGAGGATATCACAGGCCTCCCTCTGACACCAGATGTAATGTCAGCTGCATTGTTTGAGATACCTGACTGCTGAACCTTATCTGTCAGAGGCCGGCCTTGTAGACAAACGCATTGGCATCCTCAAAGAAAGAAAACTGGGATGAGAGTTGAATTTCAATTTAGCTAATAAATGTAATAATTAGTGTATTGGCCCTTGTCCTAGCCCTGGTTATACAGCGGGTGGAGCTGTTCCAGTTGGTGGAGACCAGAAGCTGCAAAGATCTAGGCTGCAGTAGTTCGTCCCTCTACAGGAGCTGAAGCTTCCTCATGCCCTTCCTTCAATCAAAAGATACACCTGTGTGACACTTGTTGTTCTTTTGGTCTCGTTTTTCCTCCCCCGTGTGGAGTATTCAATGTTCAACAACTTTTGTTATATTTGTGAAAATTCTCAAGACAATAAATAAATCAAGATCTCTGAGAAACCTATTACAGTCCTGGTTAACTGTAATAAGCCCTTTCAGTCATTCAATACCTACCTGTCTACCTGCACACAATTTCGAACGGCCCGATGAACCTTGGGCCCAGCTTCTTAGACTCCACCCGCAAAGGTAGGTCCCGGGTTGACAACCACACCCTCTGACCCACCTGGTAGATAGGGGCTGGAGTGCGGTGTTGATTAGCCGCTGTGGCGTAGCAGTCCGCAGACCGGAGCAGGGTTGCTCGGGCCCGAGCCCAGGTCTGGCAGCAGCGGCGGATGAATGTCTGGACAGATGGGCAGGAAACCTCCTTTTCTAATGCAGGGAACAGAGATGGCTGGAACCCATAAGCACACTGAAAAGGTAACAAGCCTGTGGCGGAGCTGGTCAGGGTGTTATGGGCATACTCCACCCACATCAACTGGCAGGACCAGGAGGCAGGATTCCAGGACACCATGCAGCGGAGGGCTGTTTCCATCTCCTGATTCTTCCTCTCCGTCTGACCGTTGGATTGAGGGTGAAACCCCGA